TCATGCTGATGCTGCTCTCTGATGTACCTTGTTGTTGTGCCGCTCCTTTGTGGTCAAAACACCTAGGGAAATTTCTATTCAAATGCATACTAGGTCTTGTTTACTGTTCGTCCCCTTTTATTCCAAGTGCCTACCTGCACCGGGTTGGGTATGCTATAAATCTGGGAGAAGGTGACAGAAGGTCTTCTCTCCCCTGGGGCAGGAGCAGCGCCAAGCAACCTCTGGGGAGGTGGGGGCTCCATCCTGGGATGAAGTGAAGCAGAGGAGCACCTGGCTTGTGGATGAGGGCTGCTCCCTCCACATGGATTTTTTAGCAAATGACAAAGGGTCCTACGAAGGACAAGAGCAATGGCCAGAGTGGGAGGGGCCCGAGGGGCGGGCCTTTCAGACTAGGTGTAGGGTGAGTCGAGGCCCCAGTGTAGGGGAAGAGGCAGACACGCTAAGTGTGTGCATATGTGCACACATGTGTATGCACACTCACCCACACACACTCGTGGACAAGGAAGAGCACGTGGAGAAACCGTCCTGGGGCCTGGCAGTAGGGCCATGGTAAAATGGGACTCTCTGTAAGGCCGACACGTGGGAAGTTTCTGGGTTCACCTTCAGGAGACCTCCCTAAGTATGCTGAGCACCTGCAACCATGACCCAGGGCTGGCTGAGGTGGGGGTGAACCATGAGGCAGAGACCATCCCGAGGGTGTGCATTCCCTCTCTCTCACTTACGGAAGAAATAAATATATAAAGCTTTTTTTAAAAAGAGCCTTCCTGGATGAAGGAACTGCAAGGGCAAATTCGCACACGAGCTTGGCCTGTCCGTGGGGCAGAAAGAAACCACGTGGCTGGAGCCAATGATCAAAGGAGGACAGGAATACAAGGAGGTCAGAGAGGAAATGGAGCCAGACCAGGTAGGTGTGCCTGTTGGGGACAGAGGAATAGATGAGTTTTAAGGGTCCTCCCCCTGCAGGAGAGGAATACAGGTGCCGGTGAGGGTCAAAAAGTCTCTGGGGAAGAGGGGGCCGCAGTGAGGTGTGCTGAGGCCACACAGGCTCCGGTGCCTCAGAGCTGGGAAGTGCCATGATTCCAGAGCAGCCAGGCCAAAGGCCCAGGAACACAGTCTCCTTGAGGCAGGCCCCTGCCCCACATTCCTCTGCATGTCTGCGTCCAGTACGTGTTCCCTTGTGGAAGAGGACCAGGAAGTATTTGACAGACAAGGGAATGAGTAAGACCGATCTGCTGAGCAGGCACAGTGTGCCCGACAATCTGCTAGTTGCTTTCTAGATACTAGTAACTAGTATCGAATCATCCTAACCAAGGTCAGAGGAGTGGGTGAAACCAATCCCCGAGTGTGTGTGTGTGTGTGTGTGTGTGTGTACCTAAAATCCAGAGAGGAGAATGGGGGAGAAAGGATTGCCATGCCTCCTGGTGGGTGATTTCTCACTTTCTGTTTCTCTGTCTCTCTGTCTCTTCTGTGAATGCCCTATAGCAAAAAATCTCTTAAGAAAAAAAACAGGCCTGGATGTGTGAACGGATACACCTACAGAGGGACCATAATGAGGGAACTCAGTCTTGGTCATCAAAAGAGCATTGCCACCTGTCCTAGTGATCAGCTCTGCAGAACAAAGTGTGTGTCCCCCCCCTTCATGCTGATGCTCCTCTCTGATGGACCTTGTTGTTGTGACTCTCCTTTGTGGTCAAAACACCTAGGGAAATTTCTATTCAAATGCATACTAGGTCTTGTTTACTGTTCGTCCCCTTTTATTCCAAGTGCCTACCTGCACCGGGTTGGGTATGCTATAAATCTGGGAGAAGGTGACAGAAGGTCTTCTCTCCCCTGGGGCAGGAGCAGCGCCAAGCAACCTCTGGGGAGGTGGGGGCTCCATCCTGGGATGAAGTGAAGCAGAGGAGCACCTGGCTTGTGGATGAGGGCTGCTCCCTCCACGTGGATTTTTTAGCAAATGACAAAGGGTCCTACGAAGGACAAGAGCAATGGCCAGAGTGGGAGGGGCCCGAGGGGCGGGCCTTTCAGACTAGGTGTAGGGTGAGTCGAGGCCCCAGTGTAGGGGAAGAGGCAGACACGCTAAGTGTGTGCATATGTGCACACATGTGTATGCACACTCACCCACACACACTCGTGGACAAGGAAGAGCACGTGGAGAAACCGTCCTGGGGCCTGGCAGTAGGGCCATGGTAAAATGGGACTCTCTGTAAGGCCGACACGTGGGAAGTTTCTGGGTTCACCTTCAGGAGACCTCCCTAAGTATGCTGAGCACCTGCAACCATGACCCAGGGCTGGCTGAGGTGGGGGTGAACCATGGGGCAGAGACCATCCCGAGGGTGTGCATTCCCTCTCTCTCACTTACGGAAGAAATAAATATATAAAGCTTTTTTTAAAAAGAGCCTTCCTGGATGAAGGAACTGCAAGGGCAAATTCGCACACGAGCTTGGCCTGTCCGTGGGGCAGAAAGAAACCACGTGGCTGGAGCCAATGATCAAAGGAGGACAGGAATACAAGGAGGTCAGAGAGGAAATGGAGCCAGACCAGGTAGGTGTGCCTGTTGGGGACAGAGGAATAGATGAGTTTTAAGGGTCCTCCCCCTGCAGGAGAGGAATACAGGTGCCGGTGAGGGTCAAAAAGTCTCTGGGGAAGAGGGGGCCGCAGTGAGGTGTGCTGAGGCCACACAGGCTCCGGTGCCTCAGAGCTGGGAAGTGCCATGATTCCAGAGCAGCCAGGCCAAAGGCCCAGGAACACAGTCTCCTTGAGGCAGGCCCCTGCCCCACATTCCTCTGCATGTCTGCGTCCAGTACGTGTTCCCTTGTGGAAGAGGACCAGGAAGTATTTGACAGACAAGGGAATGAGTAAGACCGATCTGCTGAGCAGGCACAGTGTGCCCGACAATCTGCTAGTTGCTTTCTAGATACTAGTAACTAGTATCGAATCATCCTAACCAAGGTCAGAGGAGTGGGTGAAACCAATCCCACCTTCCAGCTAAGAAAAGGGAGGCTCAGAGATGTGATGGCATTTGCAGGAGGACATAAAGCTAGTAAGTGAAGGAGGCAGGACTTGAACTCAGTGCCATCTGACTCCTGGTTTTGAGCAGAACCACCTTGCTGGGTTGCTCTATAGGAGAGCCCAGGATTGGAGGTCCTGGTTGCCTCCTTTCTCCATCAACTGTTCTCTTGACCAATATAACCCTCCCACCTACTGCTGGTCAGATGCCTGCCCTGGCCCCTGATGAGGCCCTCGCCTTGGGGGCTCAGTGGACCCCATTCTACGCTACCTGCCCATCAGGCCTACAGATTAGTAACTGGGTGTCTGTGTGTCCGCGGCAAAATCTAAATGAATGTCTACATCCCGTGTAGAGGTATCTAGTGTTACATGAGCTTCTGTCACTGGGTCTGTGTGGGTGTGTGTGTGTGTGTACGCGCACACGCACTCCTTGGACAGTGTGAGTCTCCCCAGCCTGCCATTCTGCCTTCCTAACACTACCCCTAAGACATAAGCATGCGTAGTCCCATATATTCTCTCTCTCTTTCACACACACACACACACACACACACACACACACACACCGGCTTCCAACCATAAGTGAAAATATAGCGAAGATCTTAGGGCATGGGCTTAGGAGCAACACTAACCTGGGTTGAGCACCACCACTCACAAGTCTATGACCTGAAGCAAACTAGCGTTTCCTTCTCTCGTCTATGAAACGGGCACCGGGAGCCTTGCCTCCCTGTAGGGGGATTTAATATCAGCGACCACAGCATCCAGCCCACTGCCTGGGACTCAGGAGATGGTGCCCCTTGGCCTCAGAACCACGGCTGAGGGCAGACCAAGGGCACTGACGGGCTTCAGCTGCCAGAGACCCTCCCCCAGGCTGCAGGACTCCTCTGGGTCCTCCACGGCCCAGACTACCTCTTCCTGACGACCCTCCTTCCACCCCACCTTCACTTCCACATTTATCTAGAACTCTAATCTGGATAAAGGAGAGGAGGGACTATCTCATCCCTTCTCCAGCAATCCAGAGAGCAGCGAATGGTCTTTCATACCCTGAGGCCATCACAGCTCACAGCTGGGCCCTGATGGGTGGATGGCTACCCTCTCCCCATCTACCTCGGGTCCTGCACAGTCTCCCAGACCTTGTCCCAGGCCTGGGTCGCTCCAGTATGAGTGTAGCAGAGGTCCCAGCTCAGGTGGTTGGCCTGACTTGCCCACCCTCCCCACCTCTGCCCTGGTTCCCAGGGACACAGGAAGAGGCATATGGACAGACACAAACTTTCCAAGCACGCTCTGTCCTATACCAGGGACCTCAACTTGCTCCATCACGAGGGAAAATCCCACCTAAGGGGAGGTGCGGGGCTCAGGGGCCCTGACTGCAGGGAGAGTTCACACAGCGGAAAAGCCCTGGCACTGTAACGTGAGGAACAAAGGTATTGGCCGACTCTTCCTGGGCCAGACCTTGGGCCAGATGGTACCCAGGAGGAAGGAGTAGGGGACAGAGCTGAACTGGAACAGTCCCTGCCCTTGGGAGTGCCAGCCCCGGCGGCACCGCCCTGCACTGTGCCTACACGGAGCAGGGGAGGAATAGAGAAGCCAGGCAGCCTGGCCCCTATGCCAAATACCAGGCACCACAGCAGGTATGGACACACCTCCCAGAGCCAGGGACCCTGCAGGCTGGAAGGGCCCGGAGGTCTTCCTGGAGGAAGAAGATTCAAGCTGAGCCTTAAAGGAAGAAGTAGGCAGAGTTGGCCAGGCTGGGCAAGGTGGGAGAGAGGGAAAGCCATGGGCCAAAGTGCTTGGACCATTTCCAAGGGAAGCTGGATCTAGAACTTCCTCCAAAGAGTAAGAACTCTGGCTTGTAAGGGAAAGGGGGAGGACATGGGTGTATGCTGGGAGCCAGGGCTCAGGGGTGCTCAAATAGTACGTGCAGACTCCCAGACCTCCAGACAGGAGCAAGGGCCTCAGCGTGGCCCCAGGAGGTGCCTGACGCTGAGCCTGCAGCTGCACCTGCTCCTGTACCTGCACCTGCACCTGCCACCACTGTGCCCCGAACTGTGGCCACAGCTGCCCTGCCCAGCCCTGCCTGAGGCTGTATCTGAATCCCGGTCCTGGCAATACCCGATTGACTCAAGCAATCTGTGCCTTCAGAAGAGGAGGAGGACTGAGAGCGAAAGAAGAGTTCTGCTGCAGGACTGCAGGCTCATTTAGACGGCCTCTTTATTCTCTCTCTCACACACACACTCACACACACACGCACGCACACACACACGCACGCACACACACACACTCGCGCACACAAAAGAGGATGGCAGATTCTACAGGCCAAGCATCTGGCTCTAAGTCCTGGCAATCGATGCAGCTGAGATCATTGGACCTCGAACTTCTCGTGGGCTGTGAGAGCGCTGTGGGCATGCGGAGCTTAGAGCCCACCAGTGGCTCTCACACACACAGGCCTGCGTCCAGGGCTGCCTGCCTCACATCATCGTTCCTCAGTTCTGCTCTGGGGTTCCGGGGGTCCAAATGCAGAATGGGGAATATAGAGCTTCCTAGAGCCTGGGTGAAGCTCCCACAGAGGGGATGCCTCTCAAGGACCACCTCCCCTCTGCCACCTCTTCCACAGAGCCTGGCCTTCCTCCTCCCCCAAGGGAACCCTGTCCCACTCCTCCTTGGGCTGTTCCAATCCCAGCTCTGCCACTTATGCATGAGTGATCTTGGTAAACGCCACTAAATCACTCTGTGCCTCAGTATTCCCCTCTGGAAAATGGGGTGATCGTTCTACTGATAGGCCTACAAGGAGGATTAAATGGATAATTCACAAGGGTTTAGCACAGTGCCTCACGCAGATTTCCTTGTGCTACGAAAGGGTTTGTTAACTAAAATAATAACTCATGACTATCCAAGGGCTTCTTTGGCTCTTTCTCACGTGAAAGCGTCCAAGGGCAGTGCTCCCTCCTTCTCCCAGGCCCCTGGAGTGGAGCCCCTTTTGCCCCTGATGTGGAAGGCACCTGCCCCTGCCCACACGCTGGGCTGATCTTGTCTCCTCCCTCCTATCACAGCTCCCTGGGGCTACATCTTGTCTGCCCCCTAAACCTTGAGCTGCCTAAGGCTCCCAGCCCCTCCTCCCACCAGTCTGGGCGCCACTGGGAAGCCCTCCA